TCCTGCTCTTCTTGCCCATTCCCTGATGTGCCATCATATAGTCAGTCTGTAAATTGCTCGTGACAGGGAATCTCTTTTGGCTTTGCCCATGCAATACATAACACCATTGGTTTCTGGGGTCTTTCATCCCTGCTGTAGTACAAATAAATAGTGATTTTTTTTCCCTAGTGCTAGCAACAAAACCCCCAAAGTCATAAATAGGACAGCTGCTCGTCCATGCCCACAGTAATCAATAACATCATAAAAGATGTGGACTAACTGAGCTCTGAGTACAACAAAAACCAATAATTAATCACAAGGATTTCCTAACACCCTGGTGGCTATTAGGACTCATGGATTATTGTTCATCAAAGCCTACCTGGATTTCCCAGTGGCCATGGAGTGTTGTGTGTGGTTTGGTGGTTACAACGCTACTTTGCGCACCTTGGAGCTTTACCAGAGATGCCCATGTAACATGGATTCATCGAAGACTGTGTCTTAGCAGACTGTGGATCTGGAGTCAACCTCAGGGTCAGACTAACCCACCATAGTGCATGCTAGAAATCAGCTTTACAGGATTCCCCTGGGCTTGAGTAGCCTGAAGATCCCTGGGTCTGGTGTGTCAGATTGCCATGCTCTGTCTGGATCCAGATGTCAGCCAGTGACAAAGCAGTGGACTTTCTCAGAGAAGTTTCATGTCTTTGGCAGTGTGAATGTGATGACTGCGATCTATGGTGATGGACAAAGACAAGACAGGCAGGACAATGGAATATATGAGGTGAAATTGGTATCCTGCATGGTTTGGTTCAGTCCCAGTCCCACTATTGTGGAGACACATCTTCCTCCTCCTCCTCTCAAGCCTTGCTGTTCTGTCTAATGAAACTAACAGCATTTGCCTTCCTGAGAAGGATGAGTATAGATAAACCTGAAAGAATACAAGTAGCCTGGACAGCATTAGACAAGTCCTACAGGAGAAACACTTCAGATGTTTCTCTGCTCTGGAGGCAGCCCCTGAGGTGAAGGTCCATTTGCTTCTTGCTTTCATGAAGTTAAGTGACCCACCCAAAGCTGTTGGATATTTCTTAGGGCACTTGCCCTGCTTGATTGCATCACCATGCTGCTGTGCCTCATGTGGCAAGACTGCTACATGCAATCTGTGATGAGCAGTGGGTGTTGGGAGGCATGAGGCTTGTACTTAAATAGAATTAGGTCTTGAAGGGAAGGGGATAGAGAAAAGTTATCTCTGCTATCCTTTATGCTCCAGCTATCTCAAAACATGAAGGGTATTGAACCAACTTTGGCTGGGCAATGCTCATCCCACCAGGGCTCTTTCAGAGAAGGACTGTACCAGGAATCCACCCCTCCACCATTGTTTTCAGGGCTTCCCTTTTCCTGAAGCCTTGGATGGACCACCCAGCAAAACACTGGGAGCCTCACAGGCTAGTAAGCATAACTCAGTCCTTCCACATCTAAATAAATCTTTCAGTGTGGTCACTATATGATAGATTCATTGCCCCAATACATTTCAGGCAACTGATGGTAGGTTGCTGTCATGATGAATTACATCCCAAGTTCTGGCTGAACAGTGTTGGATGAAGACTATCCCCACATGTGTTGCAGGAAGGACTGGAGACCTTCACCAAGGCAACATTTTCTTGTAGTATTTTGCATGATCAGCCCACCACATCAGAAAGCTGAGCAACCTGATGCCCTTGTTGGAGCAGAAAGATTTTATAGAAACCACTGGCTGGTCTGGTTTTGTTTATGAGCAGCATACGCTCTTTCTACTCTTTTCATACCCTAACTAGAGTCTGCAAGCCTGCTTCCATGACCTTATTGTGAACTACTGAAGCATACACTCTTCTACCCACCAGTCACAAGTGGGTGAATAAAATGTTGCAAAAAAAGCAGTAGCTGTCTGTGCAAAGATTCCTCCCATTCATATGCATCATTGTCATTTTTCAGACAATCAATTTCAATTAGTTCAATTGTTCAATCACTCCCCAAGACAATTTTCTCATCCCCATTAGGTCTAAAAGGTTAAGATGAAGGGTCTAATTACAGAACAGTTCATGCTTAGTGGAGAAGAAAGAGCATTTCTTGTTCAGTCTTTCAAACACCAACAGAAAGCACTTTCCTCTCTGCAGTTCAACCATGTTTGTTCTAAGGGTTTTGTAGAGGTGACTTGTGACTGTACCAAGTAAGAGGTTTGTATGTGTTGTGTCCTCTCCATTCAGAGGCTGAGAGAATTCAAAACAGTACATTGACACTAAAATCCAAAAAGTGACCTCAAACCTCCATCCCTAAGAGACTAGGGAACCAAAGAAGTTCTGAGATGCTGCATTTTTGCCCGGAAGTGAATGCAAGGACCTGAATCCTGTTGCTGTGAACATCTAAGTGAGCAGATGTTTCAGGTGAACTGAGTGTCTAAGTGCCTGCCTCCATGTCCTTGTGGTGGTAGGTTCAGAGCCTGCCCAAGCCTCGCTGGCAGTATTGAGATAAGTACAAGGTCATTCCCATGCTTGAAGCAGAGTGGGGTTAAGCATCTGTTGTCTCTACTTCTGCAGCATAACATTGTGGTCAATGCACCCACCCAGAAAGAGGGAGACAGAGGTGCAGTCCTCCTTGCAGCAAATCCATCTCTCTTGCCACTGGGAAGCATCCATTAATCACCACTTTGCAGGTAGATAGATGGTGGAGGAGACCCACTTCCATGCTTCATATTAAAGAAGAGAAGAATGTATGTGTTGGAGGCTGTAAGACTCTGGAAGATGATGGGATCGGCAAGAGGGACCTTGACTCTAACCTTGACAGTACTAGTCAGAAACATACCGATCACCTAACTTTACATGTCTATATGCTTGTATTAGATAATCCCAGGGAGTGTGTGGAAGCAATTTGGAGGAGACAGACCAGTGATAGGATATGAGGGAACATCACAAAACTGTGAGATTTAGGTTAAATATTAGGAAAAGGTTCTTCACCCAGAGGGTGGTGGGGCACTGGAACAGGCTCCCCACGGAACTGGTCACAGCACCAAGCCTGACAGAGTGCCCTGAGTGCATATGGGCAATGTTCTCAGACACATGGTGTGATTCTTGGTGTGATCCTGTGCAGGGCCAGATGGACTTCGATGATCCTTGTGGGTCCTTTCCATTTCATAATATTCTAAATGTTTTTCTTTGCTGTATGCATGGACCAGGTCTTAGTGTAATATCTCTTGCAGAAAAGGAGCAAAGCATATTTTTCTTACTCTCTTTTTCCCCTGAAATAGCTAATTTAAATGGGGCTGACTTAAGATCTTTAACAGTCATTCACTTGTCTCTGAACTGCTCCCATGGTTACTGATCATGTGCTGGGTGTAGGATTCCATTAAAGGAAGTTAATGTGTCAAGAAACCCTTAAAGGCTGACCTGCGTTTGCTGTTGAGCTTATCATGGAATCATAAATTGGTTTGGGTTGTAAGGGACCTTCAAGATCATCTAGTTCCAACCCCCTGCCATGGGCAGGCACACGTTCCACTAGAGTAGGGGGCTCAAAGACCCATCTAGCCCGTCTTTATATCTTGCTTCCAATCAGCATGATCCTGGAAAGAGAGTGTGTTTATATATGGATGGAAAACAAATTGCAATCCTTTGCAGTTGTGTTTCAGGGGAGAAGACCCCCTTTTCCTAAATCTATATGTCCTGTTTTCATGCAATCCCACTATGCTACAGTCTGGGGGGACATGCATCATGAATGATCCTCCTCAGTGTAGCACTATGTCTACTAACAGATGCTTTTCTCTAAGCCCTGATACCTGGTGATACAGGTCCCCAGATTATCTCTTACAGTGGTTGGGAAGCTTACCTGCAGCACTCAGATTCCTGACCATAGACCTGTATGTTTTCACTAGCAGCAAGGTGCTTCTTCTGGTGAAAATCATCTCCAGGTTCACTGGTTGCTTAGGTCTGGAGCAATGTGAAGAAACTCTTCATCAGAGCTGTGGACTAAACTTCCTCATCCTTGGCTTCTTCATGTTCAAGGCTTCTCCTTTTGTCTCCTGTCCTGGCTGGGGTTTGCACCATGCCCTCCCCAAGAGCTCCAACTTGCCATCAACGGGAAGGAATATGTCACCACCAAAAGCTGAAGTATTTTAATCTCCAACACAGTTTTCCCTCATCTGAGATGTGCCTGTCTCTTGCATTCCCTGTGGTTACTGCAAAAGTGTTGCTTCCTTTGCTGTCTGCTCTGTATTTTTGTGGTGCTTTAGAGGCATTTTTTATTCCCTGACCTCTCTTCCATGGCTGATTTACAACATGGCTCTATTTACAACAAATGCACAGCAAACAGTCAAGGTTCTTGCTGTATTTGTTCACACCATAGTAATTGACCCTGGTCATCATTGCTCTGTCAGACTGTACTCATAAAGAAAAACCATTGAGAACGAATACCCCAAAATGCCCAATTATCTGTTACCCATGGAAAAGTCTGATCCTGAAGGGCAGCCTTGACACGTGCTTCACCATTTCAGAAGCATTTTTACTGTATCAATAAACGTTTCTCTTCAAACACCTGTCTAACAGCCTTGACATTGTGCAGGAAGACCCAGTGTAAAGTGGCTTCTAAATGCAAAAAAAATCCTGAAGTACCTCGCTGAAGACGAGTCATCATCTTCCACCAGGATGCATACAATCTTTTCTTGATTTCCCAGGTCCTTGCGATGTGTTTGCTTGCAGAAGGTCAGCAGCTGTACCTGCACTGGAGTCACAAGGTGGGGAGTCAGGGCTTTCTGGTAACTTTAATCTATGCTTTAAATTGAGTCTATTGTGGTATTTCTTTGCATGAAAAACCTCTTAGACTATGGAAGAGAAGGAAGAGAGGGAAGAGATTAATCTTATGAGAATTTAGATACCTATAAGAATGGTATCTCCACCTGAACTGAATCACCCAAACTCCGTTTGCACTTGGTGGAGAGGAAATGAATTCTATGAGGATGCAATTCATCCAGCTGGTCACAGACATCTAAATTAAGATGAGATGAATCACACTCAGGGTGCCTTTTTCCCCTCACTGACTCTAAAAGGTGCCTGCAGTGACTCATTCAGGTGAAGATATCTATATTTGCCACATCTACATATGGTAACATGAAGTCAAAAGCAAAGTTTCTATGAGATGCACAGCATAATTTTCTGTAGCAGACCCCAGCAGGAGTGAAAAAATATGAGATTTTTTTCTGAGATCTGAGAAGAGAAAGATGGCTTTTCCAAGGCATCATGGTACTTTATGCCTTTTGGTCTTTGGACGGTTTCCTGGAAGTGTTCAAGCCCTGACCAATCTGATGTAGTGGGTGGCATCCCTTCCCATGGCAGAGGGATTGGAACTAGATGATATTTAAAGTCCCTTCCAACCCAAACCATTTTTTAATTCTATAGGTCTGTTCTATGGTTTGGGAAATGCCACCTGAAGTTTTGAAGGCACAGAAACAAATCTCAGTGACTTGATGCTGCAAAATGACGTATTAGAATTACCTTCCTTAAGAAATTCTTGAAGCTATATTAGGCATTTCAAAAATGCTCCTCTAGCTATTCAGTTTAGGGAAGAATGTAATGTGATAGCGAATCCTGCAGCGGAAGGGAATAGCTAAATGTCTGGATACTTGATCCTGCGTTTCTTCATTTAAATAATGGAAGTGGAGTTAGCTTTACTATTGAAAACTGGCTTCCAAAAGAACCAGAAAAATGTCCAAAAATTTGTAAAAAATCCCCAAAAAACCACTGCATTCTTGGGTGGAAGAGATTAGGGATGGATTATTAAGGTGTTGATCCATAGAAGAACCCTTGGGGAATGATTACGGCCTTAGTCCAATTTCTACTTGCCCTTTGTTCATAGGAGATAGATGATGTACCACGCAGAGCCTGCCATTACCACTGGTACCAAACTGAAAAATAAGTTGAAGAATAGACTGAGATACCTCCTTGCCTGTTTTGGTTAAAAAGTGAACTCTCGTCACTTAATCATGGGAGTGTTTGCTGTTGCAAAGCAGCTCATAGCATAAGGAAGGTGTGTTGCTCTCTCTTTTGAGTGGAACTTGTCACTTCTGACATTAGAAGTGATGAATTCCATCTGCAGGTTAGGGATTAAATGTAAGCTGATCATCTACACTCCATCTATATTAACTGAG